CGGCTGGTGCCTAAGCTGCTGCATAAGCAGCCCCAGCCATTTCTCCCAGTCAGTCTAGCAAGGCCCCCTCCAGTGAACTGCAGCACAGGCAGGGCCTGTTAAAATACTTGCTTTGGCTCCTGAATACCTGCTCAGCATGGGACCCAAAAGTCCTGTAAATTGACTGACAGCAGCAGTACCCAGCAGCTGCCTGTGTCAGTTGTTGACATCCAGTGTTATCTGGTGCTATGTGGTGACATCGGGACTGCAAGCAGAGCGGCTCTTTATCAATTCCGGCTTTTCATTTGAATCAAGGAAATGGACTCTAGGCTGACTGGCAGCACTGTCATTTCAATCTAAATTCTCCCTGTAGTGTCTCCTGTGGGGCAGGCTTCCTCAGGACGAATTCTGGTTCTGAGTGCCTGGAATGCCTTCATTTCTGAAGGACTGACCTTTCACATACGAACCTCCAGGACGACACGCTTTCTCTCCCAGCACTGCGAATAGGTCAGCCCTGCCTCCCAGCCCCCATGATCCCTGGTGTGAAGCCAGGCCTCGTCCTGAGGACCCCTTGCACGTGACTCAGGGTGGGTCTCTGAGTGGGTGTGCAGGATAACCTTCTTCCCAGACTGGAAGATCCTGATGACCTACTTCCTTTCGGTGGATTTATTCCATCTGCGCAAATCTCCCACTGAGCTCTCAGTTCAGCTACTGTACTCCGCAAACTCGGGTTTTCCATTTGGTTCTTCCCCACAGCTTTTGCCCTTCGCCGGCTTCTCCAGTTGGTGAGCACTGCTCTCTCTTGCTGTGATTAGACACCTCAGCTTCCTGGAGCTCTTGGGGGTGCAGTCTTTGTCCAGTGTGTCCAGGGCCTAGCTTCTGCAGAGGGGTTCTGGGACAGCTGTGTTCCCTATGTGAGCTACTTCCCTGTGTTTTTGCTTATCTCATAATGTTTTCATTGAATGCGGTCACTCTCCAGTCAGATCCTCACCTCCCAGGGCTTGTTGCTGCTTTTGCCTGTTGCATCTGTTTTCTGAGTTCTGTAAATCTGTATTCTTTCCCATGTGTGGTCAGACCCTCCCTGGTTAACTCAGCGGGCAGGTCATCATCAGAGGGAGTGCTCTTCCAATCTTGGAGCCTGACCGTGGGTCTGTGGGGCTCATCGGGCAGTGTGCCCCTGTCTTACTTTTCTCTCCTTGCTGAGGCAAAATACCCAACACCCAAAATTAAGGAAGGAAAGGTGTATTTAGCTCACAGTTCATGGGGGTTTCAGTCCACACTCGGCTGGCTCCAAGGCAGGGTGGCACATGGCAGAGGGCAACAGTTCATGGCAATGGAAGATAGCAAAAGCAGCAAGAGCAAAAAGTAGGGGAGAAAGCCTTTTTTCCTCCCTTATGTTGTAAGCAGGCTGCCCCCACCCAGGGGGCGTGTAGCACTCAGTCTCCCCGCCTTCCTCCTGCGCAGGCTCAGGATGATACAAGGTAAGGACCCAGCCCCCTGCTGAGTCACTTAGTTACCCTTCTAAACTCCTCACACTGACACAGTGACCCGGAGGGGAGTGGTGAGGGCATGTGCTTCTCACACCAGGATGCAGCACTGCGGAGTCACTTAGCCAAGCCCCTGGACCCCTCAAGTTGACACGATGTATCAACCACAGCAGCCCCTCAGGGGTAGCATTCACTTTCACTCCCAAGGCTGGCAGAGCGGGGCTTGGGCTTCCTGGGCTGTGCACAGCCCTGGGGATGTGTGGCCTTCAAATCCCAAGTAGGCTGGAATTTTCAGAGCTCCCAGAAACACCCCACTTCCCAGATCTGCCTGTTTGTGATGAGTCTGTTATCTGCCCACTGGCCACCACCTCGGGCAGCACAGCAGTCCGTCACCTGCAGTGGCTTTCATGCAGTGAGCTCTGAGCATCCACACTGTCCGAGGAAAGGTCCCCACACCGCCAGGCAAGCTCTGAGTCAGGTCACAGGCCATTTCCCAGCGGCTCCTCCAGGGATCCCTGAGACGGGCTGGACAGGGATTACTCTGGGCAGACGGAGGCCACTGGCTGTGACTTCACCAAGATATAGGTTGTGAGGTCCCGTGGCTACAGAGCTTGGGGCAGGGGTGTCAAAGTATCACAAGGCTTGTTTTTACCACAATTTGTCAATTTTCTTGATGAAATAACTCCCCATGGATTGCTATAAATCTTTAATTTCCTGAGTACTGAAGAAGAGTGACATGTTTGCCTGTTTCCTCTTTGTTCTGACGGAGAGAGTTCTGCAGTTGTGCTGAGAACCCAGCTTGTGACCGCACGTGGAGAACAACATGGCAGCAAATGCTACTGAGAGTGGACCGGTGTCGGCCAGGGGGTGACGGCTGCCCATTGCCCAGTGGCAGCAGCCGGTCCTAACCCATGCTCACCAGGCCCAGGAGGCGGCAGGTGCTTGTGCTGCCCAGGCAGGATGGCAGTGGGCACGACAGGGCCGGACGGCAGCGAAGAGTAGAAGGGGACAGGTGCAGGCTCCCCGCTTCCTCCTCGGGGCTCTGCTGCAAACTGAACACAAGGACTCAGCTCGGGGACCAGGTCCAGTTCTGCACCAGAAGTGCTTGGCAGAACTCACCCTGAACATTGGCACTGGAGGGCGGGGGGGGGGCGGTGCGGTGCTGCCCTGGGTGGTTTCTAGGCAGGTGGGTGAGGCCAGCTCAGCATTGCCGGCTGCTGTACAGCCCTGGAAGCCCCGTCCAGTCGGCTTTCAGCCTGCAACGCCTCTGCAGGCCACTTAACACTCTGCAGCAAATCCCTGTTTGTTGACGCTGGCTGGGCTTCCTCCTAACGGAGCCTGGACAGAACCCAAAAGCATGCTGTGTGTGCAGGGGGGACCGGGCGCTCCTCTGCGTTGGGTGGTGAGAGGGGCTTCCCCACACCTCAGGGCAGGAAGCCACCAGCTGGGAAGAGGGGTCTCGGGAGAGGAGCAGCGAGTGCAAAGGCCCCGGGCATGAGCAAGAGTGGGCCCTGGGCTGGTTGGTAGTGGTGGTCTGTGAGGGCTGAGAGGAGCCAAGGAGCAGGCAGAGGACTGCACAGCCCTATTCCCGGGACTCTGAGGCCCCACGTGGGAGCAGCCTCTAGGGCTGAGAATGGACAGAGGCCAGTGCTCACCTGGAGCCAGGCCCAGGGTAGAAGTCTGTGGACCGAGCAAGGACAGTGTATCTGTGGTGGGCACAGCCTCTGCGGGTGTCTAAATGTGCCCATGGGTGGGAGCTCCAGGCTGAGTCAGCAGTGTGCTAGGGCACAGGCCGTGCCCTGAAAGCCACTGCTGTGTAAGGGCCCCGCCCTGGCTGGGATCCATGGGGTCCTGGCTGGAGCTCCAGCAGCCCTTTAGAGCACCGTGGGCTCTGGGCCCCACACAGGGCACAGAGTATGACAAGCAGTAGCCTGCAGTCCCTAGCCCCACCCCCCAGCTATGGGGGAACTTGAGAGCTCCCCGGGGCCTGTGGGAGGCCACTACCAGCCATTTATTGGGTGGACATTTGCCTTTGAAACCTGCCAACACCCCGGAATGTGCACATCAACCTGATCCGTAGTAGGCCCAGGAGGGGTAGGGGCCGGGGGTGACCTCCAGGAAGGCCCTGTCCTCAGGGGCCCTGGGCACTAGTGCCAGCCCAGTGACCAAACACATACTGAATAGCAGAGCTCAGCCTACACTGGCATCTTCCCCACCCAGACCCCACCCCCTCAGGTCCCCTGGGGTTACTTCTGTGTCCCCATCCCTGGAAGCGGGCGTGCTTAGCACCTGTGGAATGCGTGAGCTCTCTGCATGTACACACGAGTATGTGTGCCCACACCCAGGTGCACAGGGAGCACTGCTGCTGCTGCACGCACAGTGCTGAGGCTGGGGACACCCTCGTCGGACAAGACAGCAGCCCCCTTCCACACTGGCACGGGCTGCGAGCCCCCAACACTGCCCGTCAGGTAACGGGAGAGGTAGGCGCGTGGCACCACAACGCCAAGAGCTGCACAAACCCCAGCGCAGGTTCTAAGGATTTTTACCTTAAAGTACACAGCTGCTTTTCAGTAAAACATGCCACATGTGTTAACATGTAATAGCCCTATTTTGTCAGCTTTAAGTAAGTTAGTGACGTTCTGAGCCCGTGGGGTCGGACTATGGCGAGCACCAACAGACAGAGCCCACATATGCGGCTGCCGGCGTCCTCGATGACGCTGAAGGGTGGAAAGAAGTGGTGTGACCAGAGGCCTGAGGGCCAGACCTGGGGCCGCCAGCCGCAGGGCTGGAGTCTGGATACTGCGTCTCTGTTGCTTCTCCACGGCCGTGGTATTTACTTGAAATGCAGGTTACATCACTGGGTTTGTTTGCATTTGGTCTTTCTGGATTTATTTATTCTCTCTCTGTCTGAGTATGTGAAGCATTGACGTGGTTCCAAAACTCAGGATGGGTTTTGTTTAAGCTTGGAAGTTCTCTGGGGACTCTGACGAGCAGGGAGGGCCAGGCGATTGAGCAAGCTCCTCCGCAGCTCCCAGACCCCATGACAGGGGCTGTGGAGACAACTTCCTGATGCTGAGCAGCTGAGCAGCGATAAACTGCAGAGTCCCTTAGCCCATCCCCGAGAAGGGGAGGTGGTGGCTGCCTTGGTCAGCCTCTGCCTTCAGCAAGTGCCCCAGCGGGGGTGGCCGTCAGCATACAAACATGGGGCCCTGGGAGGGTGGGCCCTTTCTGTGGCTGGCCCTTGACTTGATCTCCGTTCCTCTGGGAGGCTATGGACCCTGATGCCTCCGGGCAGCAGTAGAATATCCCCCGCCCTGTGCAGCTGTAGGCCACTGAAGCCCAGAGTCTGCCTTCCACACTGCAGCTCAGGCCAGGAGGGGGCTCTTCAGCACACCTGCAGCAGGTGTAAACAGGGCCGTGACCCTGGCTGGGCCCCTGGGTCCAGCCCTGGGCTCCTCAGAGCAGCACCCGCCCCCACTCCACCCCCCAGTAGGGAGGAGCGAGGGAGGGGGTGGGCGGAGGGAGTGAGGGCAAGACAAAGCGGGGTGGGGCTACGCCAGGCGGGAGAGTGGAAGCCCTGACAACGGGAGAGCGGGAGCGTGAGCCTGGGAGCTCTAGGAGCCGGAGCCGGAGACCCCATCCGGCTCTTCCTGGGTCTCCTCTCCACGGACAGACTGCCGGAGCACTGGGCTGTCAACTCCCTCCTCACGCTGGTGAGTGCTAAGTGCCGAGAAAGGTGGTCTAGGCAGGGTGCCTGGACCTTCCCGATCCTAGAGGTCAGGGGACTTGGCAGGCGGAGGTCCCTGTGGGGCAGCACAGGCAGGGGCCGCAGCGGGACGGGGTGAGCCCTGCGCGATCCTAGAGGTCAGAAGGCTTGGCAGGCAGAGGTCCCTGCGGGGCGGCAAAGGGAGGGGCTGAAGCGGGACCGGGTGAGCCCTGTGCCCTCCGCGCACCGCAAGGGAACCTGGGACTCCTCAGGGACACTTGGCAGCCCAGCCCAGCCCAGTAGCCTGGTGCACTTTGCCTCTCTGGATGGGGATCTGCGAAGCTCAGTGGGAGAGCCTCGGGAAGCAAGGGCATGCGCAGTGCACACCGGGCTCTGGGGACTCCCTGCAGGGTGTCCCTGAGTGACACTACCCTCCCTCTGCAGCCATGGACAGCCCGGCCACCACCGCCCTGCGCAGGGCAGTCTGCACCCTCCTCCTGGCCTCCCTGGGCTGTGCCACCAGCCGGCCACTGGGTGGGGAATCTGTGTGCACGGCGCGGCCGCTGGCCAGGTACAGCCTCACCTTTACGGGCAAGTGGAGCCAAACAGCCTTCCCCAAGCAGTACCCCCTGTTCCGGCCGCCTGCACAGTGGTCTTCACTGCTGGGTAAGGGTCCCGCCATCCCAACTTCCTCTGCTGGAAGGGTACAACCCCAAACAGCTCCTGAAAGCCACACAGCCCCGCACATCCAACACACTTCCACTCAAGAAATATTTGTAGGCTGGCATGGTGGCACACACCTGTAATTCCTGCACTCTGGGAGGCTGACGCAGGGCGATTGCAAGTTCAAGCCCTGTCTGGGTGACTTAGTAACTTAGTGAGACTGTCTCAAAATAAAAAATAATAAAAGAGTGAGGGACGTAGCTTAGTGTGAAGACCCTGGGTTCAACCCCCAGTAGAGAGGAAGAGAGAAAGGGTGGGAGGAGCCTTGCTAAGCGCCTGGTCAGTGGCTACTGCTGTCCTGGGTTTTGGGGTGTGAGGGCAGGGTGGCCACCATCAGGGGAAGGCTGGCTGCTCACTGGTCACCAGTTGGGTGTGCAGCAAAGTGTGGACACAGGCTGTCACTGTCTGCCATGGCCGGGGTGGAGCTGGTGCTCAGTAAGGAGGACGTGGTGTCCTCCTGGGTGGCCAGCTGGGGTCGGCACCTGTCGAGGTGGGCAGCTCACATGGCCGGGCCCCACAGGGGCAGCACACAGCTCCGACTACACCATGTGGAGGCACAGCGAGTACGCCAGCAACGGGCTGCGGGACTTCGTGGAGCGGGGCGAGGCCTGGGCCCTGATGAAGGAGATCGAGGCTGCCGGGGAGAAGCTGCAGAGCGTGCATGCCGTGTTCTCAGCCCCCGCTGTGCCCAGCGGCACAGGGCAGACGGCCTCAGAGCTGGAGGTGCATCCCAGGCACTCACTGGTGAGCACAGTGGCGTGCGTGTGTGTGTATGCACATGAGTCTGTGCGTGCATGTGTGTGTGAAACCAGGTGATGTCCCCAAGGTTGCATGGCTGAGCCTCTGCCTGTACCCAGGTGTCCTTCGTGGTGCGCATTGTCCCCAGCCCCGACTGGTTTGTGGGTGTGGACAGCCTGGACCTGTGCGAGGGGGGCCGCTGGAAGGAGCAGGTGGCCTTGGACCTCTATCCGCATGACGCTGGGACAGACAGCGGCTTCACCTTCTCCTCCCCTAACTTCGCCACCATCCCGCAGGACACCGTGACTGAGGTGGGTGGACCTGAGGCTCCTGAGAACGACTATGAGGCAGGGGCTGCGGGCTGGGCCTGTCGCTGGTGTCCAGGGAGTCTGGCCAGCACCACAGGGAACAGAGCCATGCTCGGGGTGCAAGAGCCCCTCCTGGCCCTGCTCCACAGGCTGCTGTGAGCACAGGCAGCTGTGCCTGGCAGTCTTGTCACAGCGTCTACAGTGTGATAAAAAACATACAGCAAATGTTTAAATTTAAGATATTTATTCCAGCAAAAGACATACTGTGATGAGTTCCCGTCACAAGCCCTTTCGCTTCAGGCACACTTGCCCCACTGTCCCTGCTTTCTGTAGAGGTTCTGGAGTCTTCTCTCATAGCTATTTTTAGCTGGGCTGTCCTGGCGGCCTCAATGTCCCGAACTGATTCATAGCATTGACCTTTCCCGGTCATTTTGACATTGGGGAAGAGCCAAGAGTTGCCCGGTACAGATTTGGTGAAAAAGGTGGATGAGGACGTGCCACAGTGCTTTCTGTGCTGGCTTTGCCCTGCTGGACACTGGGGCTGGCCCGCGGCGTTTTCCACATGCATGCAGGTGGGCTTCTTGGACCCTAAGCCAACCCTTCTCTCCTCCACCCCAGATCACGTCCTCCTCACCCAGTCACCCGGCAAACTCTTTCTACTACCCGCGGCTGAAGTCCCTGCCACCCATGGCCAGAGTAACCCTGGTGCGGCTCCGGCACAGCAGCAGGGCCTTTGTCCTACCCGCCCCGGACCTGGTCAGCAGGGGAAATGAGATCATCGACAGCCTCTCAGGTAACCTGGCCATGTCTGCTATCCCTGCGTGTCGCAGAGGGGTTGTGGGGAGAGCAAGGGGGCTTGGAGAGAGCAGAGAAGCCTCTGGTTGGTACTAAGGCATTCAGGGTTAATGGAAGATCAACTCTGTGTCCATCATTAGACCACCATGGATATTTGCCTGTCTGAATGGACAACCACATGGGTGGACAGACACAAGGCACGTTCGTGGGACCAGCCACACACATACACACACAACGCCAACCAAGAGGGTTCATCTGTCCACCCATGGGACCCCCAGCTGCATGGGAATAACAGAGAGGAGAGGGTGGGTATGGATGGAGCTGGCCATGCCGGCCTGGGGACCCCATCATGGCCCCAACAGGAGAGAATTCTGGAGAATTCCACCCAGAGAGCTGCCACTAGATGGGGCAGGACCATGCTATCCCTTCTCTACCTAGCACCCAGGATGTCTGAGGGAGTACCATGGAAACATGGGAATTACCAGGTAATTTAACCGTAACCACAGTGGGTGATTTTTAAATATGTGAATATAATGGAAACAGAGGGGACACAGGAAAAGGAACACTGACACTGAAGTGCCAGGACCCCACAGGGGACAAACCTCACACCCAAGGGCCCACTTTCACAGGTCTTCAGAGACAAGGGCACCGTGAACGTCAGGGCAGCAGGAGGGCTGGTGCTGGCACTGCGAGCCCCTCACAGAGCTCCTACAACCAGGACACCCTCTCCCCATTTCCAACGGAGGCGCAGCTTGGCCTGCGCTCTGTGACCCCAGTGTGCACAGGTGGCCCCTCTGTCCCTGTGCCCCTGACATACCTCTGTGCTTGGTTCAGTTCCAGAAACACCACTGGACTGCGAGGTGTCGCTGTGGTCACCCTGGGGCCTGTGCAAGGGTCCCTGCGGGAAGCTGGGAACCAAGGTCAGAACTCGCTACGTCCGTGTGCAGCCCGCCAACAACGGCACACCCTGCCCCATACTTGAGGAGGAGACTGAGTGTGTCCCTGATAATTGTGTCTGACCCAGGCATGGGTCACCAGGGGCTCCCAGGTGGACAGGCCGAGGGCTAACAGGAGGCCCTGCATAGACTGCCCTCAGTGGCAGCCAGGCAATGGTTGTGACAGGGCCCTTCTGCAGGCGTAGGAATCCGGAGGCCCTGAGTCTGCTCTACATTATGTCCCTGTAACTTATTACCGTTCTTGAGGCTGCCTGTGATGCTGACAAGAGGACGCCTCAGTGAGCCCTACACCCACAAGGCTGTTAAATACCTCAGACCTGGTGCCCATCCCACTACCACGCCCACTCCCAGACCATGGCAGCCCCATGCTGTTGGCACCAAAGCCAGGCGACCACACAGGAAACACAGAGAGGAATGGTTTTAGAAACATGGCACTTTCATTTATTGATCTTTGCATCTGAATAAAGGCCATCTGTCCCTGAGAAATGCCGGAGGCTGTCCTCACACCTTCCCTGGACACCTACAGCAGAGGGCGCTGGATGTACCAACGGGGACACACTGCAAGGTGCCCAGGACGCTGTCCTGACTGCAAGGCGGGGCAGGCACCTGGCAGGAAAGGGGGAGCAGGTTTGTGAGGACCCCTGCTGAGGCCTTAGAAGTTGGCATTCGGCAGCAGCTGTCAGGTACACACTGCAGGCCGGGACTGAGTGCACACCTGGAGCAGCACGGGGTCACCATGGCCACAGCCTTTGCTGTGCCCTCCCGCACAGGGTGGCTAATGGGGCCACACTCAGGCGTCTCCCAGGGTCTAAGCTCAGAGGCCTTGCTCACAGGGGCCCTGGCTTGGTCAACTTCCCGTCGCTATGACAAAACGTGAGGTAAGCAACTTGGAAAGAGGATAGGTTTAGTTCAGCTCCTGTTCTGAAGGTTTTGGGGTATATCCAGGGACTGGGTGCTTCCAGGCTGTGATGAAACGGTACATCCAGCTGAAGAGAGATGGCAGCTCATGGATGGGATGAGAGGAAGAGGAAAGGCCCTGGGTCTCACTATCACCTTCAAATCATGTCCCCAGTGACAAGGACCTCCCAAGGACCCATCCCTAGTGACCAGAACCTCCCAGTGGCTCACAGCCCATGATCAGGACCTCCCAAGGCAGGTCTCTGGTCACTAGGACTTCCTGAGGGCCCCTCTGCAGTCACCAGGATCTCCTACTAGGCCCCATAGCATAAAGGTTCCATGGGCTCCAACTAGTGCCACTCCTGGGACTATAATCTGAACATGTGCTCCGGGAGACCTTCCAGAACCAAGCTCCATGCTCCAGGGGTCTTTCTGCCCTTCCCGGGCCACTCACGAGTCAAGGGTGTTGCTCGCCCTTCACCCACATTGCTCCTTCCAGTGGTGCAGATCCCTCTGCACAGAGCCTGCCCTGGACATTGTCAGGGAGACATTGGGAATGGCCCTGTCTCTCAGCCCCGGCCACAGCCTGGACCAGGGATGTGCCTCTGTTGCTCCTATGAGTCTGTGGTACACTATTCTGCAACTAGCTAGGACCCTCCACTTCTAATGTTTCAGAATCAGGCCCAGGCCTACCACTACCAACCAGTATCCCATCATCCTTAAAAATTCCAGGCCATGAGATCTGAGTTTATGTGGTATTGTGGCTTGTGTCTAGATGTCCCCGCAAAGCCTCATGCAGTCATGAGTAGGGCTTTTTCAGAAGTGGCTGAATTTAGAGTGTGTGACTGATTCATGCTACTAGGATTAAGTGCTAGGGATAAATGCTAGGATTAAGGGTGGATGATTACTCAAATGGTCCACTGATTAGCTTGGCACTGCCCCATTCTGATAGCCTGGATACAATATAAGGGACAGAAAAAGACTTGTCCCTTGCTTGCTTGCTTTGCTACCTTCTGCTCACCATAAACTGTTTCTCCTCTGCAATGCTCCTCTGCTGTGCCACCCTATCTTGGAGCCAGCCGACTATGGACTGAAACATCTACAAACAGCTAAATAAACCTTTTCTCCCTTAACTTGGGTGTCAAGTATTTTGTCTCAATAGTGAGAAAAGTGACTAAGATAGGTAGAGACCTTCAAAGTCCTGGTTAACAGTGTTTCTGAAGGCTTCCCGGATGGGCAGTGCTCCGAAGCACTGGAGACAAATAGTTTCTAGCTGCCCAAGGTTGCCCTGCTCACCTGACACAAAGCAGCCTCAGGGACAACTGTATCCTCACACACCCACCACACACAGATGTGACCCTCGATCCTCAACTGTGGAACTGCAAACTACAATACCAGATCAGTAAGTCACGGGTTGGGTGATCAGACCCCAGGTGTCAGGAGATCAGAACCCAAAAGCGGACTATTTAAAGCTGATCAAAAGGTGGATTTAAACCTGGATGCTGGTCAAACAATGATGCGAGACCACATCCACAGCACCACAGGCTGCTAAAGAGCCTACAAGGTCCACAGGACACTGAGGCTGGTGGAGACCCCTGTGGACAAGAAGTTGTGTTCCTTCCTTCCTGGAGTGAAGCTGGCTGAGGCCTTGGAGGACTCAGAAAGGACAGTGGTGAGGAGGGGGTAGTTCCCATCAATTGTCCCAAAAGGCCACAAAAACACAACAGAAGTAGTAAGAGGGGAAGATTCAGGGCCTCTCTGTTGACCAGTGTTATGGTTTGTGTCTGGATGTCCCCCTAAAGCTTCATGCAGTCATGGGGTGGGCTTCTAGAGTTTATGATTGATTCATGGTCCAATGTTGGAATTATGGATGTGAGCGCTACACCTGCCCTGGGGCAGATAGTTTGCATATAATGTAAAGGAGGGAAAGAGGCTGCTTGCCTCTCTTGTACTCTTGCTGCTTTTGCTATCTT